GAGAGAGAGAGAGAGAGAATCATGGCGTCCCGCGACGAAATGCCACGTTAGATTTTTCAACCGCTTCCGATTAAAGGTAAAATGTTCCACGTCCGTTCGCGAAAAATTAATTCGGGACGACAAAGCGGGGAAAAACGATGAAAGCCGGATCGAGCGCGATAATAACGTGTATCGACTCGGCCTCGGATGGCGCGAGTTGAACGCGCGTTTGATGTTGGCAGCGACAGAACAGCCACCGAAGCCCCTCCTGTGCTAAGCTTCGGCCAAGTTATTGAGCACGATATAGAATATTATACACGAGGTGTTAATCTAGCTTTACGTACACACACAGAACACCCCACGGACAATTCCAAGGGGATTTTCCTTCAGCGAGATTGATTGGCCGCCATTCCCCTCAACTATCTCTCAATCTTCGGAATAAGTTGTTGCCTTTATGTAGAATAAAATATTTCATCGATGCGACAATACAGTATAAAGGTACAGTATAAAGGTTAATCGTCGTTAAGGAAGTCTAGTTTCTAATAGTTTGAGATAGTTTGAGTTGTAATTAACTTGACGATAACCACGTTCAATTAGCTGTCACGTGAATGATATATTAATCATCGACTGTCTAAGCGGTCCTTGTCGATCCCTAATATCCATGCATCTACGTATGCATATGCAATGACACCTGAGACACCCCATATGCAGGGCCGGCGGTCGGAAAGTGGGTAACGGTTTAACTCCTAGAACTACATCTACTCGACATGTAGTTGTAGGGTCGACGTATAATCAGTATGCGGCTTATGCATCAAACCGTCCCCCGCGCTGCTCCGCGCCACCACGAATCTATCGCATCGTTTGTGCGATGTAAGGCGTGTAGTGTGCCTCGGCGCAAATCGATAATGTTGCAACGAAATTCCCGAATCGCGATAGAATAGCCCGAGGTATTTCAGATCGAACTGAAAATTTCTAGACTCGTAACGAGGGTAACTCTTGTGGCCCGGCGCGAATTCGAAGGGGGCTCATCCTCGTCAGCTCCGAGATAAAAAATGATTTAAAGAAACCGACCCGATTGTATATCGGTGCTTTTAAATTCGATTGGATGTCATCCGTGAGGGGTTCTGGTGATCCCAATTTCTTTGCTGCCATTAAAGTGGAGTTTGACGCCCACGCGATCATTCGCTCGGATCCGCAAATATTTGACAAACCTGGCGGTCCCAGCCGCGCGCCATCCTAACGTCGCCGATGTGCGGCGGCTCTCAATGGCAAACATTAAATATTCTCTTTGTCTTCTTTGTCTTCTATACATTGGCGGCAACGCGAACGAAGATTTCTCTCTTATTCGATACCAAGTCAAAGTCCGATAATGTTGCTTTTCATCACTCATCTCGTCTCGAAACGTTAAAAGAACGCTAAACTTTCATTGTTTCTTCCTCTTTCTCATCAAAGTTCATTCACTAGTTCGATTAGGAAAATTCATTCGATCGATAATTAACAAAAAAAAAAAAAAAAAAAAAAAAACACGCCTCGTCCTTCTCAAGAAAACGAAAAATTTCGTCTATCATCAAGTTTTTAATTCGATAAAACTTTTGCTTCACTTTAACCGTTCAATAAATTATCAAAAATTATCAAATAAAAAATCAAATTATCAAAAAAATTCAATTAAATTAATTGTTAACATTTGTCACAGATAAAAACGCGAGATCAAAATAGAATAAATATGTTACGATGATAACATGTATCGGTTAGAGACGAGTATATTAATTGCAATTAAAAAAGGTTTTCAAGTTTTTCATTCCTAAATCAAACAGAATCCAAATGTTTAACATACATTGATCGCGAGGCGATACGTCCTCTCGCGTTAAGCTACTCCATCGTTTTGAGAACGTTTATTTGAGATAAGGAAAAAATAAAAAAAAAAAAAAAGAAAAGAAATACAAGTGTGTCGGCACAATACACATCGGACGATGAAGAAGAGAGCTACACGGAGAAAACGGCTGTCTATCCAAACATTTACGAGCTATGTGTATGGGAGCATCAATAATCCGTGCAATATAGATCAGTGCCTAAATATAGCGGCGCGTGTTTCCTTTTTTAAGACGCGTCGAGGTGTATTTTATCGCGTAATTGAAACGTCGCTTATTTCTATAATCGAGACGAGACGTCTAGTTAAAATGCAGTAACGACACGACATGCACGGCGTACGCACACACGCATGGAATTATACGTTCCGTCTGTCTGTATTCTTTCTAATGACAATAATACGCAATTACGTGACCTCGGATCTTTACTTTGTGTCGACGCTAAAGATCGTCCACGATCCGGAAATGACTCCCTAAGCTAAACCGACAATCAATAGTCGCGCGTTGTCGTGCACGGTAATCGTGTGATGGACAAATATTTATTCTCCACACAATGACTCAGATTCGTGATATTTTCGTGAGGGAGTACATATCGTTACGCCGTATTTAGTGCACACACAAAAAGATCACATTTTTATTACGTTAGATGCGTCGCGTGTTTAACAAGAGGGAGACAAATTCTTCCTGTCGAATGAATAATTATCGCATTGTTTTGTTAAAAAAAAAATAAATAAAAAATAGAAAATAGTAATTCTATTTTTTCTCAGATTTCACGGAAAATTCATATCTCTTATTACGATCTATCTGAAATTATTCGTGAAAAGCAGATTTTCGGATATCAAATTCCGCCCCTTTTGCCCCTTTCTTGTAGATTACTTTTTCTTGAATATCTCTCGCAAATGTACTTTTGCGAGAGATATTAGGCGCAATTGTAAAAACACTGCATATGATCACTATATGCGACTAGATATCGCAAGTTATTATAACTATCTTGCGTCTCCGTCATCTACGAATATGCCGAGAGCGCTATATCTCATCGCCGGAGCACGATGCCTAAAAATACGATACGCTATTTTTAACGTCAACGATTCTCGCTCTGCACACAAGAGAAAGAGAGAAAAAGAAGAGAGAAAGCAAACGGCACCGTCGAGCCGCGCTGAGGGAGGAAAAAAGAGACAGCGCAAGAAATCTGCGATAATGCGATTACAAGTGGCACGAAATATTGATGAGGGATTGGTGAGAAAGAAAGAGATGAAAAGAGAAGCCCATGTCCCGTCATTCGCAAATTTAGTCATATATCAAAGTTCAAATAAAAAATTTGTTCAACAAAAATACGTTTCCCTTCCTCTTGCAAATTTCCGTATTTTAAGGCATTATTAAAGGATACAATAATAATCATTCCGGTAGTATCCTAATTTATTTTTCGTTTCGTTCGAAATTATCAAGGTTTAAGTTTTAATAAATAAAATCAAAGTATATATGGACCAGAATGCTCCTGCACATGCTATATCGGTGAAACAATCTTGATACTATCGTTCTACGAAGACTGCTCCCATATACCATACGAGACTGTCAAATTAAAGTGTTTGGAGACCTGACAGGTGTGAAAAACAGTCACATGCCGATTGTTGACTAAACGGATAATCGTCATTTGCGCCAGGGAGATTTACGCTTTTTATCCTATACGTAAAACAATCTGGTACAATAACCCTCGCTTTTCAAATATCAGCAATTGCATTCGATCGGCCGTTCAGTCGGCTCGTCCATCAGATGCACTTGCTATCGTAATCTCATCGAATTACGACGACGATGTCGCTTTATGTAACTAAGTCAACGGTCGTATTATCAAATTAGCGTACAAAAAAGCCCGAGATTGGGTCAATTTGTTGAGAGAGCCTCTGGATAAACGAGTGACTGCTATTAAAGTGCGATTATCTCGTTAAAGCATTGTCTTCATTGGCATTAAATCGGTGTCGCACAAGTCTATTAATACACGCATGCATATTGCATCTATGTACATATAGATTTTTTTTTTTAAATCTTTTCCTGATAATTTGACGATTATAATAAGTCTGCCTGATCACGTGTATAAAAATGGAAAAATTTTTTTAAATGAAAATATCCGCTAAATATATTATTAGATGAGAGATAAAGTGAAATAAAAGAATCGAATTAAATGAGATTTGTTCTAAAAAAAACCTCGAGCACCCAAAGTTGACAGATTCGTGATGCACAGTGGCGTTATCGATGCGTAAGCGTTATCTTACGGATTTCTTATCATACTTATGATATCACCCCCATGGCAGATTACAACAATCGTGACTCGTGTATTCTTCGTGTACAGGAAGATCCAGCGATCGGCGAATCAACGAACAAGTAGTAGTCAAAACTCTATTGGGTGAAACGCGTCACATTATTTAATATCATTGAAAAGATTTGACAAAATTCATTTGTCGTGGATATTATTTTATTTGATCGTTATACGATGTTACGAGTACGCCAGTATCCAAATGAGCTGGCTAGCGACATGGCATCAACATAATTCATTGAGAATGATGCCAGTTGCTATTTTAAATTCAACTCCAAACAGAAACAATATAACGCCGAACTCTTTAATAAGTTTGTAGAGAGAAAACGACTTACTATTTGGCGCAGTCGATGAGTTGATACTCGTTACTCCTCTCGAAGCTCTGCTGAACGCCTCGATCTTTCCAGAGTGTTTCGACGATTTCGTAGAATTCCTGAAAGCAGAGAGCAACGATTAGAGTTTCATTAATGCTTCTGCGAATCGACGAGAAATCTATTTATCCTGAAATACGCGGTCGTTTCGGATTGAAAAGGAATCAGCGTGTAATAAATTATAATGGATGTTTCCGACGCCGTCAGTTTGGATCATCGAGAAGGATCTGTCGTCTAAATCTAAATCTTTCGGAATTCCAAAGTGCGAAGATATGCAGCGGGTGAGCAACCCGTCAACGATTCCCGATTACAATGTAAAGATGTACAACGGCGAATCGAACGATGCGATGAATACGATCTATTCGCGTATATTTATGGTACATTTATCATCATCTTTATTGCACAATCGGATCGCTGAGCTGTCGTAACGTTTGACGTTTAACTCGTCGTTAGTTCGCCATGAAAAAAACGTACCGCCCGCAAAATCGCGACGTTGAAAAATAAAGCTGAACACGCGCATCTGCGAAGAATGCGTAACAAAACGCTATTTAAATCGGCTGCAAAGATTATTCCATTCTCACCTCGTGATTTATCGGAGAAATATTTCAAGAAAACATCGGTGCCTTGGCTGAAAAAGCGATTAACGGATTATTGACACGTTAGTTGAAAAAGGCCAGGAACCAACCACTCGCACCACAACAATTAGGGATCCAGGTTGTAAGGCTTGTGTGATACATTTTTATTACACAAACCTCTGTAATAATTCGATTATTTCAATCTCTAGAATTCTTTGTCTCTTGAAAAATGAATAAACTTAATTTTCCTTTTCTTAAAGTGTCCAGAATTCGTACGCGTTCTGTCATGATGCATTTCAGGACCGTATAGATGCAGCATTGCAAATGCTGTTGCGTTTAGTAGCGAGTTAAAATCGCGATTTGAATGTTACGTAAATAACGGCGACCACAAGGCTACGTGCTTCGTGTTAGTGACGGAGGATGTCGAATGCATTAATAATTTAGATGTTATTGTGTCGGGCAACTTGTGTCGGTTTCCTCATACATACGTGGGCGGTTTTGCGGAAGGTTGGCGCTTTGGTCGCGGATTCCTGTGACATAACACATTCTCGAAAATTAGGAGAGAAAACGATGGGATGGAATTCTTATTCCAAAAGAAACTGCTATGAGGATGCGTTCGCGATCAAACATCAAACGTTTTACACCTTCGATATAAAATAGTTTGATTAAATAACATTTAAATCTTCTCAGCAAGTCGTAGAAATATAAACTTGATATACATGTTAGAATATATGTAGATTAGAATATGAATATGAATTGCGACAAGATACGGGGGTAAATGTTATCTGTGTAATATGTGTAAACATTGTATTGATAGCGATAAGTTTTTAAAGTTAAGAATTTTTCGTAATCAATGACGCGCTCTTTGTAAACGATGCGAATTAAAAGTTGTCGAGTAATCGTAGCAACCACTACGTAAGTCCGTGTGCATAAATCAACGTTGAAAGAGCGTAAAGTATTAATAATTATTTGAGCATTCGTGCAACTCTGCATCGTGTTCCATCGCGCGATGATATTCCTGGCGAAACATAGAAATGTGCACGGATTGCAAAACAGACGTTTACTTTATATATTCTGCAGTATTTTCGCGCGTGCAAAATCTTTCTCTCGCAGCTCAAATTTCTTCAGTGATTAATTATTGACACGTACAAGTGCAATTTTTAATAATACATATTGTTAAGAAATTAAAATATTAATTTCATATTAAGAGAATATTATTTTACGTAAAATCTCGAATAACATATGCCAGAATATAATCGAGACGTTTACAATTATACCGATTACCATTAGAAATGTAATCTTTCGCGAATATATTTACGTGTTGACGATCGGTACGCTACGCGTATCGAATCGCAGATCGGTTGTAGTACAAATACACGGAATTTTTCCCATAGTGTCTTCGAAAAGCCGCAACAAACCGGCGTAATTGGCAAGTGCTGTAAATCCTCCCGTGCTCTTTCATCGCTTTAAGCGTCGCGGCGAACTTGGACGGGACACGTTCTCCCGTAACAGCGGAAGTCCATCTCGGGGTGTTGTCACGAACGACGCAAGCTGCAAATCTCGCAAACAGTCGCAAACACGGCCGGCACGGCCGGTGTGCTTGGCAATAACGCGGCGACGGTTATATTAATAAATTCTCCTGTCGATGCTATTTCCACGCTTCCACGATCGATGAACGGACGCATCGTCGATCCGTCGTCCGTCGCGCGAGGAAGGATCGCCGTGTTGGTGCCGTGTCGTCGCCTATTACCGCGATTATGCACGTACTAATAATTTCGTCCAAACGCGTCATCCTCTCGCTAAGCCCCTAAACGCCACTGCAAAGTATGTAACTCGGCTAAAAATACAGGAACACGGTACCGCGCG